CGGATTTGTCTGCTATACATAAAGTCGTGGCATCGGATTTGGACGAGGGTGTCAACGGTGAAATAACTTATTCCATAACTTCCGGTAACATCGGTAACAAATTCAGCATCGATATACATTCTGGACTTTTGAGCGCGAGACCACTCGACAGAGAAGTTCATTCGAAATATGTTTTGGGTATAACGGCTCAGGATAGAGGAAATCCGACGTCTTTGCAGGTACGAAAATTTTTTTTTTTTCTATTGATCGGAATGAAAGAAAGAAAAAGAGAGAGAGAGTGTGTCAGAGAGATAGAAGTTCAGGTAAAAACACAAAGACTAAATGAAAGAGAGAGAGAAATACAGGAAAAAAGAGAAAGAGAGAAAGAAAGTGGGGAGAGAGACAGACAGAGAGAAAGACGTTCAAATGAAAACAAAAAGAGAGAGAGAGAGAGAGAGAAAGCGTTCAAGTAAAATTAAAAAGAGAGAGTGAGAGAAATACAGGAAAGGAGAGTAGGAAAGAAAGAAAGAGAGAGAGAGAGAAAGAAAGAAGTTCAAGTAAAAACAAAAAGAGAGAGAAAGAAAGAAGTTCAAGTAAAAACAAAAAGAGAGAGAAAGAGAAATACAAGAAAGGAAAGAAATTAAAAGGGAGAGAGAGAAATACAGGAAAGAAAGAAAGAGAGATATAAAAGTTCGAGTAAAGACAGAAAGGCAGAAAGAGAGAGCAAGAGACAGAGAGAGAGAGAGAGAGAGACATGTAGAGAACAACAGATAGAAAGAAATAGAGTGTAATAAAGAGAACAGAGAGAGAGAGAGAGAGAGAGAGAGAGAGAGTGTGTGTAATACAGAGAACAAAGAGAGAGAGAGAGAGAGAGAGAGAGTGTAATACAGAGAACAAAGAGAAAGAGAGAGAGAGAGAGAGAGAGAGAGAGTGTGTAATACAGAGAACAAAGAGAGAGAGAGAGAGAGAGAGAGAGAGAGTGTAATACAGAGAACAAAGAGAGAGAGAGAGAGAGAGAGAGCAAGTGGTAATAATAATAATAATGACAAATGATTTTTCGCAGGGTTCGTGCAACATAACGATCGTCGTTGACGATGAAAACGACAACGATCCACAATTTTCACAGCAAAAATACACGGCATCCATACCTGAAGACATTTTACCAAATTCTGACGTTCTCACCGTACACGCCGTTGATGCTGACACTGGAATAAATTCAAAAATATTTTATTCATTGGCAAACGAAACTCATTGGCTATTTAAAATTGATAATAAAACTGGAGTCATATCAACATCTGGGTAAGTTTCCACCATATTTTTTTTTCTCTCTCTCTCTTTCTCTCTAAACTACTCTTATCTCTCTTTTTTTTTTTTTTAAATTAAAAATTTTTAATTTTTTAAACACGAAAAAAACCCACGCTCGAAAAAAGAAAAAAACTTTATTCCATCATCCATTTTTTTTAATGCCATGTTTTTTTTAATGGATCGAATCTTTTGTCTTCTCGTCGCCATTTTTGGTTGCCATTTTACACTTTTTCGTCTTA